CTTTAACTCTAGTTTCCAGACATCCTAAGACATCAATCTTATTCTTTTGCAAAAAGATTCTCAGCTCTTTTTGCTTATGGGGCTTGTTAAGCCCTCTTATATTCCATGTGCTTATTATCATGGTGGTTGTTGTACCCTCTCCTGCACCATTCCTCCTCCCTGTTCATCTTCATGTGACATTTCTTTCAGCACTGCAAATCTATTAGCTTCTTCACTTTTTCTCTGGTTGCTCAGGAAGTAAGCCTGTTTTTCATTTTCCTTTGTATTTATCACCTTTTTTCCTCTTTGGTCTGCTAGACTGTGTTGCAGTTGTTGTTCATTCTCCACCTGCTCCTGTACCACATTGGCCATTTCATTTGTCTCCTCTTGTGCTTGTTGTTCCTTTGGTTTCCACTCTTGTATGATTCTGTTCTTTCTTCCTCTATTTCTTCTTCTAGGCAATTGGAATTCTTCATTCTCTTCTTTCTTATTCATCTTCCAACATTCAATCAATTCATGCCCAAAGTGCAAGCACTCAGAGCAAAATTTTGGCCTCCATTCATACACTATTTCCTGCTGCTTCACACAAGTTGGAGTAATGATTTCAACTGTCTCCACCAAGGGTTTTGTAATGTCCACTTTCACAAGTATTCTTGCAAAATAAATCTTCCCTAATTCAGTTGCGTATCTGTCTGTATACATAGGCATTCCCACAACACTTGCCACCTTACTTAATGCATCTGCTGTCCAGTATCCAACTGATAAGTTAGGCAATTGTATCCACAATGGTATAGTCGTAATACACTTAGGATCAAAGTGAAAATCTCTTTCCCAGTTTTGCAAAATCAGTGGTTTATTATGATAGGTATATGGCCCTGCCTGCATTACAGCTTGCTTATCCTCCCTTTTCCCAAATCTGAAGACATAATATGCCTCTTGATGATATAATACTTGAGGTTTATCTACAAAGTCCCAGATTGTTTCAATGTAATTTATCATCGATTTCTCATATGGTGTATCCCCAAGTACATACCCAATTACAGCATTGTCCCAATACTCATTTAACTCATTCACATCTTCTTCTTCAATTTGTATTACTAGCTTACCTTCTCTGTGGCTTGGTGGTATATACTCCAGCTTCATCCCCATTTGTGATTTCCTATTCTGCGTTCGTACATCTTTCGCATGTTCCATTATTTCCTTTATCTTCTCTGCATTTCCCAGATCTAGATCTACTCTTGATGACCCAGCTTCTGAGAATTGAAGCCGCTTAGGACTCGTAGGTAGATGGTCCTTGCTCTTCACAGCTTCACTCACATTTTTTCCAGAATCACTGTTCTATTTCTTACTGTTCATACCCTCTTTCTCATCTAGGTCAGTCTGCTCTGCAATTGGCCGGAAACCAGTTGGCAAGAAGCTCCCAAACATTAACGAAGTAAGGGTTATTGTCCCTGATGTCACCGGTGTGACAGTCGCCGGCATAGCTTGTCTTCTCTTCCTTGCCATAGGTGCACGTTAGCCTGCCTTGGCTTATCGTGCGCCGAGAGCCATTCAATTGCTATATTGTAATACATGTTAATTAAGTTATACATAACTATTTAATTTTATATAAATATATATATGAACTGAGACATGTATGTAGTTGTATATATACTTAATTTCAAGCTGTATTCTGTTAATGTATACAGTAATTTCAAGATGCATACAACGTAAAGTTCCATACATCTATATACAACATAAGCTAAGTGTAGTTACATTTAAGTTTTCCACAATACAGTATTTATTAAAAGATTATAGTATTTATTATATTTGAAATTGCAGTTCATAATAGCAGAATACAGTATGTGAAACACATACGTATTTATACATTAACATGCTACAGATGTTAATCCTCACATACATTTGTATACATTACCAGTATAACAGAATACAGTATGTTAATTTTTAACCTTCATAGAACACTCATATACATCTGTATACATTAACAGAATACATATGATAATCCTGTTTATGATGAAGCAATGGTTGATGGGAATAATACATCTGAGATGCTGTGTATCATACCACCTAAATGTGTATCCAAAGAAGTGCATGTATCACAGTTTGAGTTGCCGGACCATTTTCTTCCAAGTCAAATTCCAGAAGCTAGAATTGTGATACATAATGCAGCAAAAAAATCCAACAGATGCAACCCCATTAGCCTCACATAGGAATCGGCGTCCTAGTAGATGGTATTCTTCGCCTTATGAGTCAAACTTTGACTCCGCAGGTTAGTAAATTATTTAAAAAAATAATGAATTATAAAGATACGATCTTCTTCCACCTTGTTTACAAAATTAAATGTTTGTATTCATGACTTGATTGTCACTCAATAGGCACCTCAGTTAAGTTGACTCCCATATTCGACAAGAAACACCCATTTGAAGATGATTTGATTTCGGGACCACATCTTACATTAGTCATTCAGGAGTATGAGAAATGGGTTCGTGAAGGTCTTATCGCTAAACATTACCAAAAGTAAGTTTTTAAGTTTAAGTGTCTATTCAATATATTGATAATTTAAATAAAAGACATATTGTATTTTGAAATTCATTGTAGAAGTGATTTGGAAGATCATTACAAAAAGAGCAAGTCAACACTGCATATACCGTTGGATTTTGGCGTTGATCAAGTCACTTCCAAAAATTGGTTTTACCTTCTCTCATCTGACGGCAAAGTATGGAATGACAATGCAAGACTCCTTCCACATTCAGTATGTTAGATCTACACTTCTATCAGATATATACATGTATTCTGCATCATGTATGTAACATACAATTCTACTAATCTGTTTTCAGCATTTGATAGATTACATACAACTGCATGTGTTCACTTATGTTGACAGCATTTGATATTTTCTGAATATCATTCAATGTACTGACGTGGTGTATTCCATTTTAAATGTAGCATATTGATGTCATATTTTACTACTTAAGAAAGAATGGAAAGTACAACCCAATACCCAACTTCAAGTATACAACAGTTGATTGTATATTCAAGACAAGAATCACTGAAATCTTCGACAGGTATGCTGATACAGATAGTAATGCTAATGTAGCCAAAGAAGAGGATGTGGTATGTGAGTACATAAGGGGCTACAGATTGCTAGCTAATGTACCTTGGCATACTGTGGATAATGTCTTGATACCAGTCAACTTGAAGGACAAACTACACTGGGTATTGGCTGTTGTCTCATTCAAGGAGAGATGTATCAAAGTGTATGACTCGTACAGATCTGCAGGTCATGATGCCTATGTAGCTTCTGAGATTGATAAGCTAGCTAAGATTTTACCTCTGTATCTATCAATCAGTGGCTTTTACAGATATAGCCGAGGCATAGATTGGTCTACTTACTCAGCATACACTGACAAGTCACATAATGATCCATTTGAAGTTTTTTTCATATCAGATCTGCCTCAACAGAAACCTGGGAGCATGTAAGTATTCAATCATCATTCTTGTATGTTATATACAAATCTAATTGTATGAATTATTTTTAACTGTTTCAATCAATTATTTGTTAGGGATTATGGGGTGCATGTTGCGGCATACGCAGAGTTTCTGAGCACTCTTGGTGAGATTCCACGAACAACATTTGATTCCAATCTACTCCATCAAAGATATGGTGCTCTCCTCTGGGACTATGCTATTCGGAAGATAGACGCTGATGCCATAAGCGAGAATGAAGCACCCTCAAAGATTGCTAAGCATATCACGGAGTCAGATTCAAATATGCAGATAGTGTTAGAGTATCTTTAGGTTAATGTAGTTTGGAATGTAGTTTGAAGAAGAATACTGTTTTGAGTAGTTTTTTGGTGAATATGGTATTTAGTTAGAAAAACTTATCACTTTATCAACAGTGTTCGTGTATGTCAATTGCTTTAATCTATCGCTGTTTCACTGGTTTGTTCATAAGAATTCATGCTTATTCTTCAGTTTGTATTCATATGTATCTTACACGATTCAAGTTTGTATTCATATTCAGTAACTTTGCTTGAACAGGTTTTAGGTATTCAACATGTTAATATCCAAGACAGAAACTTTATGTATTCTGATGGTGGGTTATATTAAAGAATTCAGCTGTATTTTTCTGGATTCAGGTGTATTCAATAGTATTCAACTGTATTATTAAGCTTTATTCAGCTGTGTTCAGCAGCATTCATTTATATATATATATATTAAAGAATACAAATTCAGATGTATTAAACAGGTTATACATATTCAGTTATATTCAGCTGTAGACAGTTGTATTCAACTATTTTATTGAGTTGTATTCAACTGTATTATTCAGCTGTATTCAGCTATATTTCTCTGTATTCAGCTATATTATTTAATATGTATCTTTCAAACTCAATTAATATATGTTAAAGAATATGAATTCAGATGTATTAAACAGGTTATTGTCTAGTTAGAGAATATAAATTCCGACTTATTGAAATTGTTATATTACAGCTGAGTATATAGATGTATTCCGATGAATTTTGACTAGTTACGTATATAACTCTGGCACTGTCTATAATAAACTGTCAAAGTATATGTGGACAAGGTTATATTCGATTGTATCCAACACATTAAGGCAACTACATGTATTCAGAATCTATTCACGAAAGTCATTTCAGAAATTATTACTTTCCAATGAGAATTTATTACTTGACAATTGCATCATAAGTATTGACAAATCGTTGAAGCACCAATACATGTAAGAGTGTTATCTATTTATTACGTGGAGCATTTCTACACGTTCGCTTGTTATGTCCTCCCTGCCCACATATGCTACATGAATGTTGATTTTTCGGCTGCAGCAATTCACTTAGAGGTTTATCGCGCTTCTTCTTTGGCCTTCCAGGAGGTCTTTTCCATTTGGGTGGTAGTACAACCTCCTCTGCAACATGTGCTGGTATATTCCAGTCATTTCTGTCCGGTAGCGGGTACACGAGCACATTGTATGTCATTACAACAGTATTTGGTTTGTAATAGTTAGATCAATATTCGTCTGGCATTAGAAACTTGCTCTTCAATACAGCCCAAGCATGTGGGCATGGCAATTCATCAACTTGGAACCTCCCACAAACACATTTTCTCTCTAACATGCATATTGTGTAATTCCTCCCTCCACCGTTAACCGTATGTAAATATTCAGTTGATGGTACCACCTACATTTAAAATTAGAAATATAAGTTTTGAGCACATATAACTGAATTACTATATGTATAATGTTGAATTACTCAGTTACATACAACTGAAATATTTGCATACAGATGAATACATCATATATTTAGACCAGCAGACTATCAACTGTAATTAGTGCAGAACTTATCAAAAGTCTTCTATAATTTAGGCAACAGGAGGCTAACAAAAACATTGGAAGAATACGTCATGACAATACATATTAAAATTATATATAATACAGATTTGTTAGTTGTATTCTGATGTATTCGATTTTTTTTTGCAGCATGTTTTTAGTTATATTCAGTTGTATTCATACCAGATCTTCGAATTTGAATTTAGTTGTATTCATATATATATTCATGATAGTTGCATTTTGAAAAATGATTGTATTCAGATGTATTCATGCCATTAATTCAGAAAACAATTTAGCTATATAATATAATGACCTTAAAATAAAAATTACAGTCATACTTGTTGACATAGCCTCATTCAAAATCAGCATATCCTGGTATTATTTTCCAAGCGTCGTGTATGTCTGTGTAGCTTCTTTACGGTTACTACAACTCCAACGTCCAAACATTTTCCTAACTTCTTCGAGGAAGTCGTATATTGGCAATTCCCTTGCTGAAACTAGTGCGGCATTGATTGACTCAGCGATGTTTGACGTCATTGTCCATCCCCTGTTAACAGGTGCATACAACCTAGCCCACTTTTCGTATCCAGCTAACTCTAAGTATTCTTTCACCCTAATATCTATCTTCTCCACCTTCTCCATCAGACTGTCAAATTCAGCTTGTGTGTATACTTTTGCCATCGAGAAGTATATCTCGCTCAACTTGGCATGGCTCTTTTCGAATTTCTCATATACATTATTTCATAGATGCCATATACAAGCAAAATGCGGTACATCTGGATACACTCTCGATACAGATTTAATGATACTCTCATTTCTATCTGAAACGATGCACATGTTGTTCCTGTCACCGTATGCTATCTTTAATTGCTCAAAGAGCCACGTCCAAGCAGCATCGTTCTCTGAATCAATAACACCATATGCTAGTGGCAATATATGACCTGTAAATACAATTCAATACATATTTTTAAAATATGTATTTCAATCTTTAAAATATTAACAGATTGTATTATAATTAAGGTACTCACCTGCACCATCCAACGTGCTTGCCGAAACGAATGTCCCGGTGTAGTAAGATTTTAGGTGACTTCCATCCACAACAACAATGGGTCTACAATGATCAAACCCCTTTATAAAGGCATACAAGGATATATACACGTACATGAATTTATTTTTTGGAGATTTTACCATTCTGATGTGGGAACCTGGATATGTCATATCCATTGTATATAAGTATCCTGGTAATGTTTTGTATGAATCAGCCGGTTCACCTCTCAAAAAATTCATTGCCTTTTCTTTAGCCCTCCACGTCAACATGTATCTAACATCTACACCTAAATATAATTTCACATCATCAATAATATCCCTTGGGGTGTATTTTCTCTTATGGTTGGTAAGCGTAGGCCTTATCATACCACCTATAAGGCTGCTACTAGCCTGCCGCTGCTCATACATCTTGTCCTTCAGCGGACATGTATGGTTATCATTGAATTCTTTCACTTTGAATAGTTCTGATTTGTTAATGCTTGAAGCCTTAAACCTCCATTCACAATCTTCTGAAATACATAATAATGCATAGCTGCAAAGAATTAATCATTGTACATTTTATTAGCATAAGTGTTTACAAAAAAAATCACTCATATACATATGACTACAATCTGACATAGATACATCCTGACATCTATATGTATAAATTTTTATACTACTGAATTCAATTATAGTTATATGCATTTAAATTTAATGAATACAACTGAATACAATTGTGGGTATATGCATACACTTAATACCACAGTATATGCATACCAACTGAATACAATTGTGTCACTGTTGTGTATTTATACCAGTAAAATACATATGAATACATGTATTTAAGGACCCTAAACAAACATATGTTTACTGCATATGTGATCATCAAGAGGAAATACACAAATACACATAAATACAACAACGTTAAACTTACAGCTCGAACCAATAATAGAAAATACAAAAAAAAAAAGAAAATTAAATACATGCAAACCTGACAGCATTAGACCTATCAACCCGGAATTGAAACCTTTGAGCTATAGCATAATTCTACATCAACTCTTTCAATGTAGCCTTATCCTTATACACTTGTCCAGCCATAACCTCCTTTTGATTAGTTTTTGAAATTATCAAATCCTTGTGGAGTTCGAACACTCCAATCGCTTCTCCTGAATTGACAAAATCTAGAGCCAGTGTATCATCTGTGTCGAAATCGTACCTTTGAACTGCTTCGTCTATGTGCACGATGTCGCCTTGATTTAAACTACCTCCGGATATAATTTCTTTTTCGATAGTTGTTATGCACAAAGGATACATCCCAAATTCTCTGTTCTCTTTTTTCAATTATACATACACTCTATAACCCATATCATTGTGTATTTCCATTGGCGTGCAATTTCCTTCTACTTTGTATTGAATTTTAATGGTCTTTGAGCTCAAATCTATACCCAATTGATTAGAAATTGAAGCAACCAGATCATTAAAGGAGGCATACTCCTTTATCGGTATTCCCTCAATTGAAAAACCGATGTAATTGCCCTCATCGTTCCACTTGCCAGAATGATGCAACAACACTGTTAAACTTGCCATATGTATAAAGGAACTATACCTTATTTTGTATATAATTTGTATCAATCGAGAAAAAGGAGAAGCGAATGGAAGAAGTTCGAACAGATGTTGCTCTGGTTTTTCGCTGTATTCACGTTTTTGAGTTCACATCTTCGAGCAGTAATGGGTACTAGTTTTCGTTCATTGAGTTAAATTAGAAGAATTCATGTGATTTGATTTCCTTCCGTTTTTAACTAGTTTAACCTTCCAGAGTTTGCGCAGATACGTTACTGTATTCACGTTAATGCCGCTTGAATACAGTTAAATACATATCAAACTTAGCTGGAATTTCCTTTTTGTCGCCTATATTTTCTATTGTATTAATGAATACAACAGCTTAAATACATAAAATGCATTGTATAAAAACATAAAAGGTATCTATAACATGTAATATAGCAAAAGGTATCTATAAATGGCTAATTAGACCTAAAAGATGGTGCTTTATGAAAAATTCTCATTAAAAAATAGTCAACATTTACAAAGTCATTAAAAATAGCTATTTTGCTGCAACACGAAAAGTTCCAGCATTATATATGTATTAGTAGAAAATAAATATGACACACGGAATTACGTGTGGCTGACAAGACATGAAGTTACTGCAGGTCTCCTAGCTATAAAAACCTGCTACAGAATCCGGTGAGAGCAATATTCATTGTTCAAGAAATCCAAAGCTCTACCCTCCAACAGTTTGTATTACAGTTTTACTTATGTTTAGACTATGAATTGATGAATTGCGGGAGGAAATGGCTATTCTTCTTGAAACCTTACTAATACATTGGATGTAGAATTGAAACAAGTAATGGGTGAGATTAGCCCCTGCTGTTCGAAACAATTAAAAACAGAACTAACATGAATCAACAAAATGTATGCATAGAGTACAATCATTTTTTTGTATTATAGATAATGCCATATGATAAAATGATTACTCTTCGCTACAGAGTTGAGAATTACATACACAGACTACAAAAGCCAACACTCAACATGACACAACTAAGAGTCTTTTATTACTCATAAAAGTAGACTGACTGACACTAGCACCAAACAAACTTCAACTCAAGAGAAATGCCTTCTTTTAATACATTATTACTCAAGTCCAAACTTCTGCCTAAGCACCTTTACAAACTCAAGGACTTTAGGTTGGTCAGGCAAAGACTTAGCAACACTCTCCCTCTGCATGCACCTTTTGGCCCAAGCCACAAACTTTGGGCACTCAGCCTCTGTGCTAAAGTTGCCAAAAGTCTCATAGGCATAAAACCAGCTGTAGTATCCAATCAGAGCAATATCAACAAACCCAAAACTTTCCCCTCCAAAGTAAGGCTTGTCTCCTAATGATCCCTCCAACACCTTGAGGCATTCTATGAAATCTTTCTTAGCTGCCTCCTGCTCTTCTCCTTTTGTTGTCCATAACTTCCTCCCAAAATCATACAACTGCAAATTTCAACAAACCCAAATTAGAAAAACGAAAAGGTTATCACTTGTTGCCACAAAAAACAAAGATAAAAGTCCATATCTTGTTTAAAATTAGTTGAATCAGCTAAAGAATCATAGTCAGTACATACGGAAAAGGCAAAGATTATACCTTCTGTCAATGTAGTCAGCCCAGAACCTAGCTTGAGCTCTGTCATAAGGATCAGACGGCAGCAAATTAGGGGCTTTGTCTTTCCAAACTTCTTCAATGTACTCAACTGCAATAATAGACTCACAAATGGGTTTTCCCTTGTGAATCAACACTGGGATTTTCTTGTGGATAGGATTCATTTGTAAAAGCAAAGGGCTTTTGTTCCTCAAGTCCTCTTCTTTGTGCTCATACTTTATCTCCTTTTCAGCTAATGCAATCCTCAGCCTCATCCCAAACATGCTAGGCCAGAAATCCAACAGAATCACCTCTTCGTTCGCCATTGTTATGAAAAGCAAGTGAGAAATAAGAAATTTCAGAATTGATAATACTGATTGCTAGTTATAATACACGTCCTATTTATACAACTTTTTTGTGTACGAGTAGTGCTGTGGTCCATTGGAGTGTTTACAAAAGTTAATTTTGTTTTAAGCTTTTTAATCCCTTGAAATCCATAATATTCGAGNCACATCGCATCGGAGCGGGATGGATGAAGTGGAGGCTTGCTTCCGGTGTTTTGTGTGATAGGAATGTGCCGCTAAGACTTAAGGGAAGTTTTATCGAGCGGTGGTTCGACCGGCTATGGCTGTGTGGGGCTGAGTGTTGGCCAGTCAAGAACTACAATATGCAGAAGATGAGAGTAGCAGAGATAAGGATGTTGAGATGGATGTGTGGGTGTACCAGGAGAGATAGGATTAAGAATGAAGCTATCCGGGACAGAGTGGGAGTAGCCTCTGTGGAGGACAAGATGCGGGAGTCGAGGCTGAGATGGTTCGAACATGATAAGAGAAGAAGCATTGATGCTCCTGTCAGGAGGTGTGAGAGGTTGGCTATGGAGAGTTTGAGAAGAGGTCGAGGTAGGCCTAAGAAGTACTGGGGAGAGGTGATTAGACACGATATGGCGCTACTTCAGCTCACTGAGGACATGACCCTTGATAGGAGGTTGTGGAGGTAGATAATTAAGGTAGAAGGTTAGTAGGTAGTTTATAGTTGTTCACTGTTAGTCTTAGTAGCATGCATGTCCCGTCATATTCTTAGATTTCTATTACATTAGGTTGTTGTGTTTGTCTCAGGTATTGTATTCCCTGCTGCTATTATTTGGTACTACTTATCCTTTATCTCCCCCCCCCCCCCCCCCCCTCCTTTTTTTACTTCTTCTTCTTGTCCTTCCTGAGCCGAGGGTCTATTGGAAACAACCTCTCTACCCCATTAGGTAGGGTAAGGTCTGCGTACAAACTACCCTCCCCAGACCCCACCTGTTGGGGTCAAACTGGGTTTATTGTTGTTGTTGTTGTTGTACCTTTCAACTTAGCAACATCTAATATTTTATATTTGCACCATTTATTTTTTGGATAATTATATATTTTTTGTACAATTATAACTTATAATAAAATTAACTTATAATTTTACATAAAAACAATAAATGTACAAAAATTAATTTATCAAAATTATACACCAAAGTTAAGATATAATATTAATATTATAAAAACATTACATAAACATAATAAAGTACATATAAAGACATAAATTAAAAGATTAAATAATAAAATAATAATAAAAAAGTGATGAATAGTAATGGGGGAGATGAATAGTGTACCCCATATTTGAGGGAACACTATTCATCCCCCATTTTAGGAACAAAAATGGGGAAGGGTTGGAGTTAAATTACCACAAAAATTACCCCCATTATGGGGGATGGGGGCAAGGTTGGAGATAGCCTGAGGAGAACACTGCTTGAAAAGATTTGGGCATTTGGCAATGGGAGTATTCTCTTTCTTTGGGTGAAAATTATTTATATTTTCAAGTTTCCGTTAAAAATCAAACTCATCCTCCAACTTTGAACAATTATTATTCTCATCCTTTTATCCAATGAAATATCCATTTTTCCCTTGATATTTTTAGTTCCTCATATATGTGATACCTTTTCATATTATCTAGATATTTTTATGTAGGTATTTTATCCATAACTCAAATAATATTATTTTATTATACAATGTAATTTAAGTTCATTAAGAATAATCATGTTATGAATTTATGTGACGATCCAAAGGGTCATCACCTATTTCCTCATCCATTCCGTGCTTCCGAGGCCTTAAAACCTCATTTTTACTTGCCTCGATTTGCGTGCGAAGTCCGGGCACGTAGCCGAAAAGCTTTTATGTTGAAATATGTGAATTCCGTGAAAAATTTGAAGAATTTTGATATTAATATGGTTATAGTTGACTTTGGTCAACATTTTCGGTAAACGGACCCAGACCCGAGATTGGACGGTGCTGGAAGGTCCATAGAAAAATATGGGACTCGGGCATGTGCCCGGAATCGAATTCCGAGGTCTAGAGCCCGAGATATGAATTCTTCCGTGAAATTGTTTTTCTGAAATTATTAAGGAAAATGGAAATGAAAATTTATTAAAAGACTATGGTATCGGGCTCGTATTTTGATTCCGACGCCCGGTACAAGTCTTAAATATGTCTTAAGCGCTTTCTGTAAAGTTTGGTCGAAATCGGACGTCGTTTGACGTGTTTCGGACTATGAGTTCAAAGCTTGAAAGGTTATGAAGTTTAGAAGAAGAATCATGTGTTTTGAGGCTTGATTCAATGATTTTGATGTTATTTTGGCGATTTGATCGCACGAGCAAGTCCGTAGGATGTTTTTGAGGTTGTATGCGTGTTTTATTTGGAGCCCCGAGGGCTCGGGTGAGTTTTGGATAGGTGTCGAGTTGCATTTTTGAACTTTGAAAAAAAATTGCAGATCAGGTCTGGTATTCTCGCATTTGCGAAAGATTCCTCGCAAATGCGAGATGGAAGGGTTTCAGCTTGGGTCGCAAATGCGACGCCACTGTTCGCAAATGCGATATGGCCATGATCGCAAATGCGATCGGATGTTCGCAAATGCGCACCTAGTCCACCAGACCCGAGTTCGCAAATGCGATCCCTGTGGCCGAATTCCCAAGCCTGTGATGTTCGCAAATGCGAACTTACCTTCGCATTTCCCATATCCGAGGCCCAGCAAATTTTATACTTAGTCGAATTTTCACCACTTTTCACCATTCTTTCAAAATCCAAACACCATAGGCGAATTTTCAAGAGCAAACTTCATCCCAAATCACTTGTAAGTTGATTTTTACTCAATTCTTTCAATCGTTAACATCATTAAACATGTTTTCAACTTGAAATCAAAGATTTTCATGGGTGAAATTGGGATTTTTGGGTAGAACCTAGGTTTTTCCATAAATTGGGGAGTTGGACCTCGATTTGAGGTCCGATTCAAAATAAATTATATATTTGAACTCGTGGGGGAATGGGTAACCGGATTTTGGTTCAAACCTCGAGTTTTGACCACGTGGGCCCGGGGGTGTTTTTGGAAT